TGCACTCTGTGGTCAGGGGTGAGCCATATAGTCTACCAGCCTGAGAGGAGATTCCATCATCCACAATTCAGATAATAACATTCAAGACACTACTACAACAGGAGAATCCAAGTAACTCAAGCAAGAGACTTTCCTAGAGCACCCAGGTCAGGAGACCTAAGAGACTGCACCACTGGGTCCCACAAAGCACCTTCTTCATATGATCACCCCACAAAGTCTGGGACACACAGAAGTTTGATCTACTACATAGAAACAATTACAAAAGGACAGCAAAAAATGGGGAGACAAAGAAGAATCCCCAAATGAAATAAAAGGAGGAATTGCCAGAAAAGGAACTAAATGAAATGAATGCAAGTAATCTGTCAGATAAAGAATTCAGAGAAATAATATTAAGGGTGCTCAAACAATTCAGTGAAAACTACAAGCAACTAATGAGAATTATAACAAATTTAATGAGAATACTGAGGACTTTATGAGAGCTACACCAACATGAAAAGAGAGATTGAATCAATGAATAACAATCAATTAGAACTGAAAAATGACACAGCTGAAATGAAGAACACTCTGGAAGGATTCAACAGTAGACTAGAGGAAGCTGAAGAGCTAATCAGTGAATTAGAAGAAGAGCTAGGAAAAACACCCATTCAGAGCAGCAAATGGAAAAAAAAATTAAAAAGTAGGAGGAGAGTTTAAGGGAGTTATGGGATAACATGAAACATGATAATATTCACTTCATAGAGTACCCGAAAGAAAAGAATATGAGATAGGAATAGAGAGCCTGCTTAAATAATGACAGAAAACTTCCCTGACTTAGGGAAGGAGAAAGTCACTCAAGTTCAGGAAACACAGAGAGTCCCAGCCAAGATGAACCCCAAAAGACCCACACCTAGGCACATAATAATTAAAAAGGCAAACATTAAAGACAAAGGAAGAATCTAAAGGCTGCAAGAGAGACACAGAAAGTTACCTACAAGGGAGCTCCCATTAGATTGTCAGCTAATATCACAATAGAAAAACTTCAGTCCAGAAGGGAGTGGCATAAAGTACACAAAGTAATGAAAACCAAGGGACTGAACCCAAGACTACTCTAGCCAGCAAGACTATCATTCAAAATTGAAGATGAAATAAAGAGCTTCACAGACAAAAAAAAAAAAGGCCAAAATAATTTATTACTACCAAACCAGCAGTGTAAGAAATGCTAAAGGGATTGGTGTAAGGAGAAGAAATAGAGAGAAAAGGAAGAAAAGAGGGATAAAGAGTAAAAATGGAAACACATGGCCGAAACCGGTTTGGCTCAGTGGATAGAGCGCCAGCCTGCGGACTGAAGGTCCCGGGTTCGATTCCGGTCAAGGGCATGTACCTGGGTTGCAGGCACATCCCCAGTGGGAGATGTGCAAGAGGCAGCTGATAGATGTTTCTCTCTATGTTTCTAACTCTCTATCTCTCTCCCTTCCTCTCTGTAAAGAAATCAATAAAATATATATTAAAAAAAATGGAAACACATGAGTACCTATCTATATATATAAAAAACCAACGACTGTAATACCGTAACAACTGTAATGACCGGTTGCTATGACATCTATTGTGGCAGCCAACCAGCCCAATCGGGGCCCAAATCGGACCCCCAACCTCCCATGCCCCTCTCCCGGGCCAGCCCAGCCTCTGATCACCCCCCCAACCCCAATCAGGAGTGGGGCTGGCCAACCTCCCGTGGCCCCGGGGGCAGCCGACCTCTCATGTCCCCTCCCCCCTTGCCAGCCCGACCTGATCGGCCCTCACTGGGGTGGACCAGCCGGACCCCCAACCCAGTGCAAGAATTTCATGCACTGGGCCTCTAGTAAATAATAACCTTAAATGTAAATGACTTAAAAGCTCCAATCAAAAGACAG